TTCCAAAACATAGCACATAATTCAAAACAAATAAATATAGAATACATAATTCAATAACAATATTATCACACGACATTGAGTTGTTGTTGCCGGTACAATCATGAGCAAGGGAACAATTCCAATAATTTTTAGCGCTCCAATGCTCAATTTTCTCATGTTGTTGCAAATGTCTCCACTGCTGCTATGCCAAATTGGTTTCTTGACACGACTGCAAATTATCGTATGACTCTGACCCCTCACGCTATGACTACCATAAATGAATACACATGTTTAAACAACTGTATGTTGGCAATGGACAAGGGTTTGCACATTTTTCATACAGGCAACTACATACTTCCTAACTCTACTGGTTCTTTTTGATTGAATAAAATTTTATGTGTTCCTGATATTAAGAAAATTTATTATTTGTCCAAAAATTAGCTATTGACAATTCCTGCTTTTTTGAATTCTAGCCAAATCATTTTGTTATAAAGAACCAAACAACCAAGAGAATGTTGCTGCAAGACCTAAGTGAGGATCTAGATGGTGTCTACACTTTACGACTAGCCTTGCCTAAGGCTTTCACTGCTATCACCTCTCCTTCTATTGATGACTGGCACTGCTATACCACCTCTCCTTCTATTGATGAGTGACATTGTGGACTTGGACACCCTAATGTTAAAAAATTATCTTCATTGGTTAAAAATAAACAAATTTCAATTTCTTCTTCTGCTTTGAGTCCATGTTCTAGTTGTTGATTAGGAAAACATATCGTGTATCTTTAGCATCTAAAGAGCACACTGGTTCAAGTCCTTTTGAAATTTATTTTTTCTGATGTTTGGGGCCAACTCTCGTTCAATATAGTTTAGGTCACAAGTATTTCATGCACTGCACAACAGATGTTCATCAGCAGGCTTGCAAACATCTATTGCACTATCTTCATGCAACCTCTTCTCATGGATCTGTATTGTCCCAAAAATCCAATTTTTAGCTCTACTCCGATGGTGATTAGGCAGGATGCCCTGATGACAGGCGGTCTACAAATGGTTATGTTATTTATTGGGGTAGTAATCTTATGTCTTGGTCTTCCAACAAGCAACCCACAGTCGGGGGCAAAGATAGGGTTTAAATTTAGGGGGCAAATACTTAAATGTATAAGTTATGGGGGACAAAGTGGTGAAGGTTTGTTGTAATTTGCTAAAAGGCTAGAGTTTCATCAACGCTAAGGTAAGCTATTTTTTGAAAAATTTTTTTGATTTGGGGGGGGCGGCAATTGTCCATCCTCTCATCAACGTGGCTTCGCCCCTGCCCACAGTTGCTAGATCTTCAACCAAAAGTGAGTACAAAGCATTGGCCAATACAACTACGGAAATAATGTGGCTAACAATTCTTCTTCGTTAACTCGGTTGTACCACTTCTCTTTCGAAGACTTTATGGTGTGATAATATAAGTGCAGTTATCCTTGTTCCAATCTTGTTTTTCATGCTCGAACCAAGCGTGTGGAAATTGATTACCATTTTATTCGGATCAACTCAAGCTCGGATTGGTTTAGGTTCGTTTTGGCAAAAGTTCAGATCAAATAGCTGACATCATGACTAAGCTGTTGGCTCAAGCTTCGTTCTCATTTCACTACAGCAAGCGTCGTATTTGTGCTCCCACTCAACTTGAGGGGGGAGTGTTTAGGTTTATCATTTTGTATAACTATATTCTTAGTATATCTGTTAGTATGGTTTTTAATCCTTATATCTTATTCAAAAATACTCTTGTAACTTGTATAAATGCAAAACATCTTTTATTAAAAATGTACAGATTACAATTCATATAATACTACTCTATCTAAACCTTACAGTTACTACTGCTGATTCTGTTTGTTCCTGATTTTGACAGTTTCTACTCATTTTGAACATGATCAAATAGAGCTACTGTTCATGGTAACATTATTCTTGAATCGGATTATCTTCCCCTAGTTAACAGTTTGAAGAACAAGAAGGTGACTCGAACTGATTTGGGCACCCGCATTATTAATACCTTACTGATTTCATCTTAATTTAATTATTTTTTGTGTTCTCCATATTTATCGAGAAAGGAATAAGGTAGCTGATTTTCATTGCTCAGTCAGTTTTTTTTTTTTTTTCTTACTTTAATTGATCAAGTCTGGATTGAGGAGGTTGCTATCTCTATTTCTCCATTTGTATTAGGCAATAACTTCCTTTGATGAAATTTGGTATGTTTTTCCTAAAAAAAAATGCTAATTTTTGTGAAACCTTACATATGTTTTTCCTTTCTTCTTTCTTCTACTTTTCCCATTTTTTTTTTTTAATTTTTTCTTTATTGTGCTTTTATCAACGGTAATTATTCGATGGATTTCAATTACTAAGAAGATAATATGGTATCACCCATTACAAGTATTGACTACCTTAGATCAATTATCATTGGATAATGGGACAGCTTTGTGAGGGATTTTGGTAAATATTATGCTGAGTTCCAAGCTGTTGTTCAATCACTTGCGCTGCTAATTGATACCTTGCTTGATTTGTATAGTTTTTCGTTTAAAACTAAAATTCAAATTTATTTCAAATTTACAACCGTGATCTGTTTGCATTGTTATGAAAAAAAAAAAATATATCAAATTGACTTTTGAAATTATTCCTACTATATTGAATATGTATATAAAATATTAAATCAATAATTATTTTAATTCAAAATAATCATAGATTTATAAAGTTAATTATTATTATTGATAAAAAATTTTCAATATAACTTACAAATTAAAAACATTTCAAAGTATTTCAATCATAATAATTATCAAGTAATATATGAATACCAGCGCGCGAACTAACGACTAGTTTATCCATACTACTTCTTTTAAGGATTGCAAGTTAAATATCAATTCTTATAATGAGATATTTATTATTCTTTTTACATTTATTAAGTGGAGAATTGGTATGTGGATCCTTTAGATTTTTTTTATCCTTCGTAATTAGTTATTATAACACTAACGAACAAATATCTAATTTACGGGTTCTGACTCAGTTTGCAACGCAGGTTGAAAGAACTTTCGGATTCGATCCCACTAAACACACTTGCAGGGAGGGGCGAAAAGTCTTAACTGTAACTAAACTCTGAGCTGAATTAGGTGGTTCTTGATAATAGGGTCTTAAGTACCAGTTGTTTACCCACAAAAAAAAAAAGAACAGGTATCTAAAAAAAAGACAGATTTATATTCTTAATTAATAATATTAAATTTAAACTCAGCTTGAAAACATAATATTTAAAATCAAATTAAGAATCTTAATATATTTCATAAAAAAGATAAATAAAATAATTTTAACTCAATTAGGGAAGATAAATATTTTGATTCAATTAGGGAATCTTAATATTTTTACAAAATAATGTAATAATATCTTTAGAAATTTATTATTATGACAATTTTAATTTAATTGGAAATTCTAATATTTCTTAAAAAATTAAATAACAATATCTTTAGAAATAGTAGGATAATTATGAATCCTATGTTGAAACTATTTTTTTTCTATTTTTTGTTTTATAAAAAAAGATTAGGATTGGTAATAGGGTTAACTATTTGCATTATTAGTATAAAATATCATTAGTATAATTTGTTATTATAACAGCAAGAGATAAAATTTAAACTCAAGTTTGAAGAGTTGCATGATAAAATTAATATTAGTGTCTAAAATTTGTAGTAATATAGAATACTTATAATGTATCATAAATAAAACATTATATGAAAAATTAGGTCACAAGTATGTAGTGCAAATAACGTGAAAAGCAAGTTCAAAAAACTAATCATCTTTAACATGCTGCTTCACATTTTTCTAACAACCAACAAATATTATTATTATAAAACAGTCGGTTGAAGCCCAAATTATAAATGGGGGAGAATTATTATTTAATCCCTTAATTTAGGTTAATATACTACTTCATCCTCGCTTTTTCAAAATACTTTATTATATTTCTAATTTTTATTATATTTCTAATTTCTATTCAATTTTTATGGATTTTTACTATTAAATTACTATCAAAAGACAAAAATACCCTAATATGAAGAAAACCATAAACTGATCTTCTCCAAATTGAAGATCGTGTTTGTCAAAATTGAAGGCAATAGATAGAAACTATTACCAGAGTTAGCAAAATCAAAATCAAAATGTTAAAATCAAAGTAAAAAAAAAAAAAAAAATGTTGTCAAAATTTGTTATTGGATTTTTAACTATTAAACTTAACTATCAAAAGACAAAAAACCCTAATGATGAAGAAAAACATAAACTCGATCTTTTCCAAATTGAAGATAGTGTTTGTCAAAATTGAAGGCAAATAGATTAGAAACTATTACAGAGTTAGAAAATCAAAAATCAAAATGTTAAATCAAAGTAAAAAAAAAAATAAAAAATGTTGTTAGGATCCTTTTGAATAAAAAAAAAAAAAAAAAATGTTGTTAGGATCTTTGAATCGAAATCATCCTCTTCGTTTCCTTTATCTCTCTCTTGTGGGTCTTTTGTTGATAGCTTCTAATTTCCATAACGAAGATAAAAAAAAGCGATTAGATGAGAAAAGGTGAAGAAATTAAACTTTCAAATTTGATGTTTCGTTTAGAAAATCGACTTCAAAAAAGTTTGCATCTTCGTTTTCGGTTCTGTTATTTGGTTTTATTTAAGTTCAATTTAGTTGTTGTTTTTTCTTTTTTATCTTCTTAGTTTTCAGTTACACATGTGCTAAGGGACATTTTGGTCATTAAAAATCTTCCTCTCTCCACTGGCCTGTTTTTTCACTTTGACTCATGGCAAAATACATTAAAATTGGACAGAGGGATAAAATTATAAGTTAAGAATGTAAAAATGTATTTTAGAAAAAGTAAGGATGAAGTAGTAGATTTGACCTAAATTGAGGGACTAAATAGTAGATTTCCCTTATAAATGCCGGACGCATGATTATGCCATTTGTTACGATAACTATATTCATGAAATTAAGGAAGCCTATATAAGTGGAGAGGTTCAGTTCAAATTCATGAAAAGAGCTATTTATATTTGTTTAGCTAGAATCACAAAACAAGGTTTATCACTTATAGAAATGTTGATGACTGAGTTGCTCTTTGGAGCTTTCTTTATTATATTCTTAACTTATTGGATTAACAGATGGAGGAACCCAAAATGCAATGGTGTTCTTCCTCCTGGTTCCATGGGATTGCCTCTTCTTGGAGAGACTCTTCAGCTGCTAATTCCTCGCTATTCTCTTGATCTGCATCCTTTCATCAGAAAGAGAATCCAGAGGTAAAACAATCTCCTTTCTTGAATTTCAGTAGACCTTCATTATAAAAATATTTTAAGCAATTGAAAATTCTTTCAGGTATGGTCCTATATTTCGAAGTAATGTGGCGGGTAGACCAATTGTATTTACTGCAGATCCTGAACTCAATCATTACATCTTTATTCAAGAAAGAAGATTAGTAGAATTATGGTATATGGACACATTTTCTAACTTGTTTGTGCTAGATGGTGAATCAAGACCTACTGGGGCAACTGGTTATATTCATAAGTATATGAGAGGTCTTTTCTTGACTCATTTTGGTGCTGAGAGGCTAAAAGATAAACTGCTTCATCAAATACAAGAATTAATTCATACAACTTTACAGTCATGGTGTAAACAACCAACCATTGAAGTCAAACATGCTGCTTCAGCTGTAAATTCCAAGCTCTGCAGGCTATTAGTTACATAAAATAAATAAGGGTTTGTGCTAATTTTCTTTTTCTGGGTTATTGCAGGTAATTTGTGATTTTAGCGCCAAGTTTCTCTTTGGTTATGAGGCTGAAAAATCACCATTCAATATGAGCGAAAGATTTGCAAAATTTGCAGAAAGTCTTGTGTCATTTCCACTTAATATTCCCGGTACTGCATACCACCAAAGTCTAGAGGTAATTCAGATTTTTTTGAAATAATATATTTTTTAAAAAAAGATAGTGAACTAGTGCATAGTGCATAAAGTATCTCATCTAATTACTTTTGAAATAAATAATTAGGATAGACTCGAGTTATAATGATGTGAAAGTTTAATTTGATTGCAAATTAACATAGTTTGTTTGGTTATGACTAGGACCGGGAGAAGGTGATGAAATTGTTAAAGAATGTGCTAAGAGAAAGACGAAACTCTACTAAGAAGAGTGAAGAAGATGTGCTGAAACAAATATTGGATGATATGGAAAAAGAGAATTTCATAACAGATGATTTCATAATTCAAATTCTCTTTGGGGCTTTGTTTGCTATTTCTGAGTCAATTCCAATGACAATAGCATTACTTGTCAAGTTCCTTTCAGCCCAACCATCTGTAGTAGAAGAGCTGACAGTAAGACGTACACTAACAATAATCTTAATTATATATGATGAATTCTAATAACCAAATATTAACAATAATTATTAAATTTTGCACAGGCTGAGCATGAGGAAATTCTCAAAAATAAAAAAGAAAAAGGGTTAGATTCTTCAATTACATGGGAAGATTATAAATCAATGACTTTTACCCTTCAGGTGATTTTTGTTTAAGTTAGTTAATTAAAGCATACAATATATAGATAGATACAAAAATATCTTATCGGCATGTGGAATAATTGATAGGTCATCAATGAAACACTTAGGATAGCAAATGTTGCTCCTGGATTGTTGAGAAGAACACTAAGAGATATTCATTACAAAGGTATGTTTTTCTTATTCTAAATCTTTTATTTTCTTATTAATTGAAATTAATGAAAACCTTGTTCAAGCTTATTTTAATATTTTTTTAATATATATATATTTTTTTATGAAAAGGATATACAATTCCTGCTGGTTGGACAATAATGGTTCTCACTTCTTCTCGCCATATGAACCCTGAGATCTACAAAGATCCAGTCGAGTTTAATCCATGGCGTTGGAAGGTAATTAATTAAGCTATTTGACAGTTATTTCTTTCTTCTTTATTTTACTACTGAACTTTGCAGATTATGCCATTTCCATTGTTTACCATAATCCTTAATTATTTTCTTGAAGGAGAATAAAAGGAAGAAATTGATATTTGAAATTTGATTTTGGGATAATGATTGATTAATTATAGGACTTGGATTCTCAAACAATATCAAAGAATTTTACTCCTTTTGGTGGAGGAACAAGACAATGTGCAGGAGCAGAATACAGTAGAGCTTTTATCTCTATGTTCCTTCATGTCCTCGTCACAAAGTACAGGTATATTTCTCCTCCTTGTCTATGCCTAATCTTTCATTAATTCAGATTAACTAATTAACTACATATATATATTCTTAATATTATGAGATATCGCTAATTAATTAATTCTGTATTTGAATAATGATAGGTGGAAAAATGTCAAGGAAGGGAAGATTTGTAGGGGTCCTATATTGAGAATTGAAGATGGCATCCATATTAAGTTGTATGAGAAGCATTAATTATAATTATACAAATCTGCAAAATTTCATGTATTTTATACATATATATAGATATATTTAAAATAAAATATGAGGAAATTAAAATTTAATGAATCCAAGACGAAAATATTTTATACTCAGCAAGTTGAATGTTTAATGCTTTTCTGAAACATATTTAAAAAGAAAAAATTAAGAAGGTATTACTTAACCTTGACCTTATATAACAACGATTTCGTTTACTCATTTATTGTTAATTTACTGATTTATCCAACTCAATTAGTAATATCTCAACTCAATTAGGGAAGAGAAATATTTTAATTCAATCGGAGAATCTTAATATTTTTACAAAATGATGTAATAATATCTTTAGAAATTTAATATTATGAAAATTTTAATTTTATTGGAAATTCTAATATTTCTTAAAAAATTAAATAAGAATATCTTTAGAAATATTAGGAATCCTATGTTGAAACTATTTTTTTCTATTTTTTATTTTATAAAAAAAGATTAGGATTTGTAATAAGGTTAAACTATTTGCATTATTAGGATAAAATATCATTAGTAATATATTATTACAACAGTAAGGAACTACATTTGAACTCAAGTTTGAAGAGTTGCATGATAAAATTAATATTGGTTTCTAAAATTTGTAGTAATATAGAATACGTATAATGTATCATACGTAAAACATTATATGGAAAATTAGGTCACAAGTATGTAGTGCAAATAACGTGAAAAGCAAGTTCAAAAAATGAATCATCTTTAACATGCCGTTTCACATTTTACTAACAACCAACAAATATTATTATTATTATTATTATAGAGCAGTGAATTGAGTCCCAAATTATAAACTGAGAGAATTACTATTTAATCCCTTAATTTAGGTCAAATACACTACTTGGTCCTTATTTTTTTCAAATATATTACAACGTCTTTAATTTTTGTCTCTTTGTAATTGCTTATCCTTCCATTCAATTTTAATGGGTTTTGCTGTTAAATTACTATCAAAAGACAAAAATACCCTAATATAAAGAAAATCATAAACTGAGATGGTGTTTAGTCAGCAAAATCAAAATTAAAAAAATTAAAATCAAAGTAAAAAAAAATGTTGATTTAGGACCTTTGAATTGAAATCATCCTCTCCATTTCCTTTATCTTTCTCTCGTGTGGGTCTTTTGTTGATGGCCTCTAATTTTCATCGTGAAGATAAAAAGAGCGATTAGATTGATGCGACTTGAATTGTGCTCCTCAAGCTCACAGGTCGTACAATTAGTAAAAAAAATTATTGTCCCAAAAAAATTGAGAAATAGACTATTAATTTTAAAATTTAACAATTATTAAGAAGGCTGGATATAGTAGGAATGATTAAACTAAGTTGCAAATTGAATTAAATAAAAACAAATTAAAAATAGCAAGTGGAGACGATCAAAAGTTAAATTTAAGCAATCAAAGGGTTGAGACAATCTAGTTATGAGATATCTATTAGCTCCAGTGTAAATCATGTACAATTGGTTTGAATTGTCCAAGTTCCCCTCTCTAGTTTAAACAGACCGTCAAAACCACATGACAACTACTCTCATAGCATAACATGATTAAAACGTGATTATACCCATTCTTGAAGGAGAACTAACCTAAGGTATACAAATTCATATCTCAAGTTTTAATGGAATGTTAAAAATCATATGATATTTGCTCTCATAGCATAATGTGATTAAAATTTATTAAGCCGGTGTTAATTCTTTTTACCCTCAAAGAACTTAGTCTATCTCTAGCTCTAAAATTCTAGGTTTAATATGTGGGATCCAATCTACTTATTAATTTATCAATCTAACAAGTAAATCTAAGATCGTGCAAATATGAGACCTAACACGTTCATAAGCGTTAAGTTGAAACATATTAAATCAAAAAATTTTAGGCATTTAAATATAAATCAAACTATTAAAGTTTACATTTTAAACTAATAGAAAATTCCCATAACTAGGTTTGGATTTTTTAGCCGTTCATTATTGCAAATATTTCAACCAAAATAAATGACATAAAAGAAATAAGAGGCATAATAAAAACAAACTTTGGGTATGCTTTGTTTTGTTGGCTTCTGAATCCTACGTCCAAAACTTGTAAAATAGCTCCTATCTCTTTGCTCTCTCTTTTGTGTTGTAATAACACTAGTGGCTACTGTCTCTTTTTGTGTTACTCTCCTCTCCTTTTGATTGGCTCTCACTTTCTCTCTGTTTTCGCACGTGCGGCACAAAGAATTGCCAAAAGAGTCCAACTCGTCAAGTTTCACATCTGATTCTTTATATAGTTCTCTAGTTCTTGCTTTAGGGTTGGGCCACTTGTATCTACTTGCACTTATTTTCTGATTTGCATCGCCAAATCCCTAGAAAAGAATTGATAAAATCATGCAAAGTGAGTTGCCTCCAAAACCAGATACATTGCTCCTCTAAAACGGTGTAGTATAAGTCTAAATGATCTGTCAAATGATCATTTCGCATATTGTTGCAGGTGTCCAGATTAGGGCTGAATGTTTCTTGGGCTTTCAGCTGGCTACTTCTTCTGAGCTTAGGCATTCTTTGGGCTTCAAATGGGTTAACTTCAAGAGCCTTCTTATTTTCATTGATGAGATTCTCCATTTGACCATTAATAGATCCATTTTTGCTTGAGAACAAAAGTATTGATGTTGCTCAAAGAATAAGTCAATAGAAGAGAGAAATATCATAAAAATGAGATTTTATTCCAATTTTCGTACCTAAAATGCAACTGAATTTAATTAAAATAAATAGTAAATTACATGCATATTTTGTTGTTATGATAGATGAGAAAAGGTGAAGAAATTAAACTTCCAGATTTGATGTTTTGTTCAGGAAATCGACTTTAATTCATCAGTTATAGAGCTCGTTGGATAGAGGTAGAGAAGACACAACTAAAAACCAAAAATAAAGAATGGGTCTTTTCAACGAAAGCTCCTTTACAAACCTCACAAGGGTCTTTCTCTGCCTGATTTTAAGTTTCAGATATATTTTACCAACCTCTATTTGTTTTTTAGTAAAATCTAATGATTTCGTGAATAAGATGGCTAAGATTGAGGAACCATAGATGGAAATTTGACAATCTTTACGCACGATAGAAATACACGAGACATTATAATCTATTTGCTCTTGAATACTCTATGATTATAATTATACTATTAAAAGAAGGAAAAAATATAATCATACTCCTATATTTTGTCGAAATTAAATACACTTTTAAATGTTAAATGACTATAAAATGACATTTAAGACCCCAAGTAAAAGACAAAATCAGTTAATTTTCAAACCCTTATTCTACCTCTTGTGCTTGCCTGACAGTCACCATCATTGGTGGTGGCCTGAAAATTGAGTTATCTCAAAATCTTGCAACCTAACCATCAAAATAACCATAATCTTATTAGAAACTCAATTTTTACATTCATTTTCCTTTTTGATCATCAATTACAGCTGACATCAAGAAATTTTCAAATCTCAAAACCTTCAAAATCCATCATCACAAATCTTCTATAAAGCTATAATGACAAAAACGATTTTCTTGGATCTACAGTCTATTGTTGTAACTCACTATCTCTAAAAACAAAACCATGCATGGCTGACTTGGCCAAAGTCAGTTCAATTCCTTTATAATTTTTTCTTCTTCTTCTTGCTATTCATTATTCTAGATTTTGCTCTTTTGTTCTTTTCTTTGTAGTTTTATTTTATTTATTTTATGGTTGCTACTTGTTCCTCTTTTGATTTCGTTGTTGTCGTAACCTTATTTAGAGTTTTCTTCCTCCATCGCTCACTCTTCTTAACTTTTCCTTTCTTACACTCTCGCTTGCTCACTTCTGCAACTACAATTGAGTCACAGTATGCCTATGTATATAAATATAAAAAGATGACGTGAGGTTTCGATGAAATCTCTGATGACGAATGGGACAACTATTCCTACAAACTGTTGCGTGTCCTCAAAACACCATCAAATCATAAACGCAAAAGAAATCTCCTGCACCTCCTATTAGAAAGTCCTTTGGTTTGAAGAAGTTTGAAAATACTATCAATCCAGAAAGCAGCAACACAATTGCTTTGAAATTACTCCATGTTTTATTTTCCAAATCAGATCCTAATCGTTCATAAAGGTTAAATCCAAACCATTCGTGAAAGCTGAAGTCTCAGTGGTAGTTTTGACACATATTTAATTTTGCTCTTTTAACCATCATAATCCATATTGACTTGTTCTTTGAACGTGCAAAAAGGATGGAAAAATGGACGGAAGGATTACTTGGTATAATGGATTTAGAACATAAAAATATGGTAGTGTACTTTAAAAAATACAAGGATAAAGTAATTAATTTCAACAAAACATAAAGGCATAATTATAATTTTTCCTTAAGAGAATAATACTCTCCCAGTAGTTAAATACCAATTTATTTTCTTGTTATCAAATGCTAAATGCAGTTTGACTTCAGAATATTTATAGTTGTTTAAGCTCAGAAAAAAAGTCTGGATCTTGTCTTTGGTTCTTTTGTTGGGCTTTCTTTAAGTTCGATAGTTGTTTTTTCTTTTTTTATTTTAATTTTTTCCAGTTACACGTGCGCTAAAGGACACGTTGAACGGAATTAAGAGTAAGGGTGTAAAAATGTATTCCAGAAAAATTAAGGTCGAAGTAGTATATTTGACAAAAACTAAGGGACTAAATAGTAATTCTCCCTTATAAATGCCTGATCCATGATTATGCCGTTTGTTAGGACAACTTTATACATGAAGATAAGGAAGCGTGGAGAGGTTCAGTTCAAAATTCATGAAAAGAACTCTTGGCATGATTATTTATATATATTTACCACAATCACAAAACAAGGTTTATACTTACGGAAATGTTGATGACTGAGTTGCTCTTTGTAGCTTTCTTTACTATATGCTTAACTTATTGGATTAACAAATGGAGGAACCCGAAATGCAATGGTATTCTTCCTCTCGGTTCCATGGGATTGCCTCTTCTTGGGGAGACTCTTCAGCTGCTACTTCCTCGCTATTCTCTTGATCTGCATCCTTTTATCAGAAAGAGAATCCAGAGGTAAAACAATCTACTTTCTTGGATTTCA